ACTTTCTTTTTGTAGACTCCATGCCCAGTTCCTGTGCTTACCATTCCTTCCCCTTGAAAGACCAGCATCATCTTCCTTTCCATCAAACTCCTACACATCCCTCAAAACCCAGTTCAATTAATGCTTCCTCCACAAATGCTTTCTGGTCCATCCAGCTGGACAGACCCACCACTTTCCGCTGAGCGTTTATATAACATACTATATAGGGCCATCTGGTCATGCTAAGGAATGAGGACCAGGGAATGCTTCCTGGAAGAAAAGGCATTCCAGCAGAGCTCCCCAGAAATCAGGCAAAAAAGAAAGGGAAGAGCATCCAGACAGAGACGACTGTATGTGTCAAGGGTGAGAATGCAAAGAAAATCTACTGGATGTGAGGAATTTAAGTTCTATACCAGGGACCTTTCCCAACCACCCTAGCTAAAAAAGCAATTCCACTTCCCATCCTCATCCTCATTAAATTATGTATTTATGGCTCGGTGCCTGTAGCTCAACGGGCTAAGGCGCCAGCCACGTACACCTAAGGTGGTGGGTTCGAATCCAGCCCAGACCCGCCAAACAACAATGACGGCTGCAACCAAAAAATAGCCGGGCGTTGTGGCGGGCGCCTGTGGTCCCAGCTACTTGGGAGGCTGAGGCAGGAGACTCGCTTGAGCCCAGGAGTTGGAGGTTGCTGTGAGCTGTAATGCCACGGCAATCTACCCAGGGGGACAGCTTGAGGCTCTGTCTCAAAAAAAAAAAAAATTATGTATTTCTTTTTTGCTCACATCCCCTACTGGAATTCTGAGCCCATGAGGGCAGGTGCCACATCAACCTCATTGACCTCTGTATCCTTCTCATGGCTCACTATTATGAGGCTTAGCACCAGCGAGATTCTCAGTTCCAAAAAGACAGGGATTTGGCCTTTCTATTAAATCCCCAACACAGGGCCAAGGACACAGTCGAAACTTAATAAATATTTTTGATTGAATAAACATTGCCCAAAGGAGATGTTCGATTCCTCAATAAATAAATGTAGAGGTGGAATACAGGAATATAGGACTGCGCGGGCAAACACACAAATAGACAAATGAACACATGAACTGATTAATGAATGCATGAACACAGAGTTCTCACATTCACATCATCAAAGCCCAGAGGCCCCTGACTCTCAGCTGCCCCTCTTGGTCTTGTTAAGCCTCAGAGGTTTCTCTCTCATCTTGGCCCTGGCCATTCAAAGCTGCTTTCCTTATCCACGGCAGCCACGTTTCCATTGTCACAGGGGGCAACAGGCCATTTCCCCTCTGCCCCTCTGGGAGCTCACCCTGGGCGCTCACCAGATTCCCAGCCCTCTTGGAGGAGGTCAGCTGACCCTGGTGCTTGGACCTCTTTTTATTGTAAGGCGTCTGTACAGGAGCCTCCGATGGGAATTGTCGGCCTTCCATCCTCCCAGCGAGTGGGATGTCAATCTGCCCCATGTTTCATTAATTGCAAATTAATGCTGCGCCGGGTGTCTATTTTAGTAGACATGCTTTCCACCGAGTATGGAATGCGACCCAAAGCGGCACATTGCTCTCATTCTTTCTGCCGACCGACTGTGTGAATATTTTTAGAAGCCACACCCTCTCGCAGGGGCCAGATAAATAATTTCCAAGGCCAGATGTGCTCTTTGCAAATCCACATCAGGCAAAGAAAGAGAAAGGAACTAGCTACATGGCTCTTACCAAACCTGCCATGACATGTGACAAGTTTAAACCAGTAGCGTTTTTATAGGCTTCTTGGGCCAAAGTCCTCCACCCTTTAAACACAGAAGATGGAGCCCCCCTGACAGGTACTAGAGGGGGCTGCAAGCGGCGACCTCGATGCCCCTCCCCTGATGGCTGGGAGCTCATCTGTGTCCGTGGTCCCCCAGGTCCAGACACGGATGGCCTGGGCTCTCTTGAACACGGAGGCCAGCTTGTGGCCATGTGTCTGCCCGCCTTTGTCAGCAAGTGCACTTTCTAAATATGTTTCAGCAAAACGCTGAGTCAGGAAGAGCGGAGCGCACGCAGCCAGAAGACAAATCAACACCAGCTGAAACACATTTTAAAAAACCTTGGAAGTGGGTGGAGATGATGAAAAGCGAATTTGCCTGGAAGTCAAACATGTGAGTTCTAATCCTGGCTCACCATTTCCTTATCCTAAATTCAAGCAGCTCTGAAGTCCCCACCGTGTGCCAAGCACTACGCTATATATACTCTGAGGACACAGAGACACAATGATACAGTCCGTCCTGATTCACTGGGTGACCTCAGGCACATCACCTAGGCTTTCTGTGTCACTATCATTAAAACGAGGGGTTGGAAAAGGACCCCCAACGTTCTTTCAAATTCTAGAATTCTCAGACCTGAATAGGATTCCTTAAACAAGCAGAAAAGGAAGTTTAAAGTTTTGATAATGGGAAGAAATGGTTTCTCTTTGGGATGAGCATGTGTGTTTTACCTTGGGAAATGCCAGGACTAGACATTCTTAAGGAAAAGACAAGGGGGAGATACGCCCAAACCTTCATTTTTATAATGTTCTACGTGGGTGTTATTTCTCCACATAACACACAGGGATCCTAGGTTGGAGGACTTGGTACAGGGGAGCCCTACTGCTTATGCAAATGAGCCATTCTTCTGGGCCTCATTGTCCCCCTGAACAATTGCTTTCAGAATTCTAACCATTCTTCTCCTGTTGGGGAATTCTATGACTTGGTAGGAAGCTATGTGTCTTATCACTTCTGGGACTGCATCATGGGACCAAGAGGTCACACTGTACCACAGAACCCAATCCCCAGGGGAGAGGCTCACATTCCAGGCCTTGTGAAGACTACATTTAATTTTGAGTGCTCTGGGGCAGGTGTCAGGAAGAATCTAGAAAGAAAGCCATAAAGGTCGATGACGTAAATGCTTAGAATGTTGCTCTCAAGCCAGGCCCCAGTTTTCTAGCCATGGCCTGTCTTCCACTCCCCAGGACCCAGGTACCTTCAGAGCAGCTGATTTCTAACTCTATTCCCTCACCAATGGCCAGACATTTAGGGAGGCCCCCGTTATAAACCATAGTCAAACGCTAATTGCTTTGACTACAGAATTATTTAAAATCCTCACGTAATGTTTTATTGATTCCCCAGAACTGGGCACAAGGCACTGCACACACTACTCCAAAGATACTCATTAAACAAAAACAAACAAAGAACAAATAAACAATAAGTTCCTCAGAGACAGGAACTAGTATCCCTCCTTGACAGATGAGGAAACTGAGGCTTAAACTGGCAAGTAATTTGCCCCCAATCCTGCAGTTGCTAAGGGGCAAGGTTGCGTTTTAAACCCAGGATACCCAGCTCCAAAGCCACTGCTCTTAACCTTGACTCACCTGCAAACAGGTGCCTTGCAGTTTATAAAACTAAACACAGAATGCCCCTCCTTTAGCCTCCACAGCAAGCCTAGAGGTATCACTGTTGCCCAAGTTTCTAACAGAGGAAACAGGGTTGAGTGGCTTTCTCAATGTCACACAGCTGGTAAACCACACAGTCCAAAATTTCCTAATCCTATAGCCAGTGCTGCTTCTAATACGATCTAGCCACTTTGCCAAAAATGGATAGACCCTGAGATTCCACTTCAGAGTAATGATGTTTTAAAAGCCATTGTATAGCCTACAGTGCCAGTGGAGAATTGCTATGAACAAACTGTTTCTTCCTTACTCTATGCACTACACAAAAATATGTGACTAAGGTCAACCATTCTGCAAGAGGGCACTGGGACATGGCTTCCAGGGGCTTCTCCAAGGACGACAGTGACTAATGGTTGCCATCATGATCTGCAAACAGACTCCAAACACCAAAGCAACTCCATCCTCAGCAAGGAAATAAGTCTCCCCATCATGCAACCCTCCAATGACACCACCACCAACAACAAAAAGTCATTCCCATGCTTTGTCTGGGGACAAGGGATAAGCCACTAACGTCACCAGTGGCCAATCAGGGGGCTCCTGCTGGGACCGGGAGTGCTAAGGCCATTTCATAATGAAACCCATGCTGCGAGCTCCATTTATTTTGAAACTGTATTTGCTTATTTTGCAGACGTGATCAAAGAGACATTTGAAGGGCTCCCTGGGAGGCACTTGAACCCTGCCGGCCAGGAGAGCTTTCTCCAGCTCCAGCAGCAGCCAGCAATAACACTCCCTGTGCAAGTCAACCCTAGCACTGCGTGTTCCCAGCAGCAAACTCCATCCCCACTTGGGTCAGTTTCCCAGGTTCAGGGATGGCTTGGGATGGGGGGAAGGTTGAGAGGGAGAAGCAGAAGATATGGAGGGGAGAGTGACAAAAAAGTGGCCCGGGGAAGAGTTCCAACTCTAAAATAATTTGGAGGCTTGCCAACAAAATCAAGCATAGTGACTAGAACCTGGGACTTGTCAAGCAGACAGACACGGCTTGGCATCCCTCCTCAACTACTTAGCCACTACTGCACTACCTTGGGCAAGTCACATCATTTTCAGTGCCTCAGTTTCCCTATTTGTGAAATGATGTAACTAACAGTACCTATCTCATAGGGTTGTCCTAAAGATTGAATTAAAGCAATGTAAGGCAAACGTCAATATGATATAAAATACATATGAAATATGTTGGTGGTTCGTAAGTACACAGGACCGTCCAGAAAGTACCCAGCTACTGTCAATACTGGTTGTCATAGTACATGGCTGGATACTTTCCAGATAGCCATCATATCTTTACAGTGATGATGTCAGACTATGAGCTTCCTGAGGGCAGGGATTGTATCTTAATCTCTTTTTAACACAGCACGTAGAACACTGTCTGGCAGGTGGCATGAGGCCAGTAAATGCTTGTCAGATGTAATTGTCTGAATGGTGAGCTCAAGCAGGAAGACTTTCCCGACCTGCCTGCTGAGGAAGGAAATGTTTCCAGGCTGCAGCTTGGAGTGGGTTAAACTCTGCCTGGCTGCAGTGCCCTGGCCCCTGCCTATCAATCAACAAAGCAAGAGCTTTACCTTAATATTACAGCTGTCATCGAGCAGTATATTTTCCAGCTTCAAGTCCCGGTGGACCACACCGTTCTGAAATGAGAAGACCAGGAGAGAAGTGAATGGGAGCGAGAAAGAGGTAGGAGGAGGGTCAGCAAAGGGAAACGTCTGACGGATTAAAGAAATGCACCCGCCCGGTGGTCTTCCCCTCCATCCTTCAGCCTGCTCTCTCGTCTCGAGGCTCCCCCCGCCAGCCACCGACCAGTGACAGGAGAGCATTAGTCACTTGCTGTGTGGTTAAAGGAAAAATGACTGGAATCCGTTCTCCCCCAGAGCCTGTAAAACAGCAGGGGGATTCTGTGTCGGAATGTGATTCCACTGTGTGAAAGCAATATCGTCCCAGGCAGCAGCCAACAATGTCTGTCTGGGACAGGATTCCCAGGGAAGAGGCAAATTGCTCTGCTGGGGTCTCACAGGGCGGGGCCTGGACCTTGTTTGTCTGTCTGTCTGCCTGCCTGTCTGCTTCACCGAGAAGCTTACTGGAAAGGAATCTGGCCTAATCTATTCTGACCCACGAGACTAATCCAGACCTGTCCTGAGGGTGACAGGGTATGTCCTAAGTAGCCAGGAGAGAAGATTCTGAAAGTTCTGCCAGATACAGCATGAGAGCAGAGACCAACAAGACCCAAGCTACTGGGCTGACCAAAGCAGGTGGCTGCCATGCTGTCTGACCTTCCCATGCAGGCAGATTCCAGCAAGACTAGAGGTCAACTTCAGGGACAAACATCCCACTAGCTCAAAGGTGGAAAGGACTCACTAACCAACAGGCTGTTGGTCTACGCAGAATTGAGTGGCCTGCTCAATTCTGGTTTTAGACCCAGTTATCCTTTTAGGAGCTGGTGGGCATGGGAAGAGCAGTGGGACCATTTGTGGCCCAGTGGACATGGCAGGGGGTACAGGATGATTCTGAACACCATTAGCATCAAGGACATTTGCAAGGGAAGCTGCTCATTTGACCAGACCAACTGGCAGGTTGACAGCTGGCGCTTTCTTGCTTATTTCTCTTTCCATCTGACCATTTTCAGTATCTCCAAAAGCACTGACTGGACAGAGAGATGAAAACATGTATGTCTACGGATTTTTGTCTAATCCACACCTTCGAGGGAGGGTACTTTGAATTCAGAAATGCACAAAATCACGTCTCTTGGAGGAAAGATATAGAGTAAATACAAGGGACCTGGTGTTGTTTTAAACATCAAGAGTAGTTTGGTTTATATTGGGAATGTGGTGGTGTTCACATCCTTCAAAGAATAAAAATACTGTCTCTGTAGTGCTTTATAATGATATCTGATGATGAAATACAAAATACTGTACAATTTGCATCAAGAGTACTGTTTGACTCAGCAAAGATAGGTCAAATGATGTTCACATGGGTTAAAGGTTTTGGATTTGAATAACTGTCTTCTAATTACTTACAGAGCTGCTCTGCATTAAACAGAATGTTTAATAAACCAGAAGGCCCCATATCCCAATCATTTGTATGAAGAAGATGACTCTATTTTGGATGCCATCTTGGATTCAAGTCATATCGTCCTTAAATTAAATGATTGTTCCAAATACGAGAATTCTGGGGAAAGTCTGAATGAGATGAAATTCATGGCCATGGTGATGAATAACAATAATGGCTGAAACATGGCTTGAAATTGTCTGTGTACCTCATTTCCTTCCCTAAAAGCCAAGGTCAGCTACACTTCGTCTGTATTATGAGAATATCCCACTGAAGTGTGCTGCGGTGAAATGTACGGATAGGTGAGGAACCTACATAAGGAAAGGTACCAACAACACAGAAAGGTTCAACATCTTCCACCCGGTAGGTCCACTTCCGGAATCTCTCGGGTAAATTATTCAAATGAGAGGAAGATATTCACATTAAATAAATATGTCGATTGCTATCTGTAATAACCAGAAATGAGAAACAGCCTAAATGTCCAAGAATCAATAATTAAAGAGAATTTTAGTAACATATAAAATGTGTGGATTAAAATATTGATGAAAAAAGCAAGACACATACTGTGTTAAAAAAAAAAAAAAAAAAAAGCAGTGTGGTACCTCAGATTGAATCCTGGAACAGGAAAAGGTCATTAGTGGAAAAACTGGTAGAATTCAAGTAAAATCTGAACTTTTGTTCAAATTAATATATGAATGAATATTAGTATCTAGGTTTTGACAAATGTACCACATTCCCGTAAGATGTTAATATTTGGGTAAACTGAGTGAAGTCTACATGGGAACTCTCTTGCACTATCTTTAAAAATTTCCTGCAAATGTAAAATTATTCAAAATAAAAGTTTCAGTAAAAAATAGGAGGAAGAGGAGGAAGATGATGAAAAGGAAACAAGCAAAAATCTTGACAGTGGGTTGTCCCTGGATTCTGGAATTGCACGTGATGGTGATTTCGTAATTTATAAATTATCTATATATGCTACAATGAACAGGTATCCCTTTAATAATATGGAAAGAATCGTGTGGTCCTGTGAAAACCACCTATGGCCGAAGCTGCCACGGTACCTTGTGACAATAATGCACAGCGGAGACGATCTGCCGGAAGAAGTGCCTGGTCTCCCGCTCGCTGAGGCGTCTCCGCTCGCTGATGTAATCGTACAGCTCCCCTTTGCTTGCATACTCCATGATGATCACAATCTTATCTTTGTTCTCGAATACTGCAGGGGCAACAGCAATAAACCAACACCCTGTTTATTCAACAAGCTCGCCTGTGACCACACCAGAGAGAACAACGGCGATGTCGCCGAGCAGAGAGCAATCTGCCAGCAAACGATGAACCGGTCAGTTCACACCATCGGCCCACTCGACATCATGAGGGGTTGGGCGAGTCATCCACCCAGGTGGACGATGGCATCATCACTATTACTCCTGGTCATGCCTTTGTTATATTAAGGGAGATGCGGTTCTCTTTCTTCAGGACCCCAAACCCTTTATGGAGGTCCTTTGTGATAAGCCCCTCCCACCAAAACAAGCCCTTCCTATCTCCTGTAGACAGGATAATGGGTCACCACAAACACAGCTACCATTTGGTAACCATTCAGTGTAGACCAGGCACCCAGTCTGAATAGGGCTATTCTGTCTCCAACATGGGTGCCCGGTCTTGCCATCTCCTCACAACATTCCTGACTTCCCATCTCACTCAGAGTAAAACCCCAACTTCCTAATGTGGCCCCCACCAAGTCCCACATGATCCCGAGGGTGTCTCTTCCGCCCAGTACACACACATTACATACATGTATTTATTCTGCCTGCCCCATTTGGATGTAAATGAGAGTTGGTCTATTTTGCTCACTGTTGTATCTTCAGCACCCAGAACAGTATTCAGCATATAGTAGATGCTTGATTAATATTTATCAAATGAGTAAACTCAAACTTCATAAATGCATTTTTGAACACTGAACAGCAAATAATTACAGAGCACTTACGATGTACCAGGCTTGTGTAAGGTTTTGAGTACCTGATGCATCCTAATAATTTAAACCTTATAACAGGCTAGCAGGGAAATATCTGTAATCTTACCATATGAACAATGAGGAAACTGAAACCTTGGGGGCGGGGGGTTAAGAATCTCACACAGCCTGCAATCAGGGGGTTGGCTCCAAAGACCAAGTGCAGAAGCAGTAGACACAACGGACTCCAAAAGAGCTGCCAGGATCGGGTCTGCTCTGGCTCTTGGTGAGCACAGGAAACTGCATTGCCACAGGCTGGTGTCTGCCAGGCCCACTGCTGCAATCTCCCCAAGTGGGTTCCCTGCCCCAGCCTTGGCTCCTTCTCACCCAACCTTCATTCCACCAAGGAAATCATCTTCCAAAATGTGCTTCTCCCTCTCCAATTCTGATGCTCTCTAACAGTGATGTTCAAATTCAAGGTTCCAGGCAGATGGCCAGGGGCCAACGCATGGGGTGTTGGGGAGAAGAGGCCACCAAGAACAGGCTCTTGGTGCTCGGCACCTCCTCCTCAGCCAAAGCCACTTCAGTGTCACCTGTCTCATACAGTGGGCTTTCACATAAGACGTCCTTTGAGCAAAGACAAAATAAATGATTATAGTTTTGAAATCCATCACTCCCAAGGGATAGGGTAAAAACCTTTGTAGCGTACCTAACACCCCCGCTGAAGAACCCCTGCCTACCTCCATCCCACCAGCTTCAACTCTTTCCATTGGGCCTCCTGCGCCCAGCAATACAGACCTGTTTGCTGCTGCTGGGGATCTCACACACACATAGACTGCTCTTTCCCCCTCCACGGCTTCCCTCTGCCTTTACTCCTACCTGTTTTACCTGCCAGGGAAACTCTAACCCAAGAGTTCAGATGCCTCAGATGTGGCTTCCCCTCTGTCTCCCTTCTGCCTCTGACTGCACTAGACAGACAGCCCTTACCTCTTAGCACTTGCAAATTGTGTAGATTTATTTGCTGGTTTGAGTATCCATTTCCCCCGCCTAGACTGTGAGCCTGAACCAAGAAAGCTCCTGAATAGCTCCTAAATGGGATTCCTGGATCAGCCTTGGACTGGCTGTGTGACTCTGGGGAACTTGCCCTCTCTGTGCCTCAGTTTAGTCAACTGTAAAATGTGAATAAGATGAGTAAGTACTTCTTAGAACCGTGGGGAGGATGGAGTGATATCTGGTATGTTAAATGCTTGCCACAGGTCTGCCCTCACAGCCAGCACTCAATAATGATAGCAATTATTGTTGGTATCGATATTGTTGGGTCCTCAGGGCCTGGGTGCTGAGACAGACACCCACACACCCCAGGCCTAGGTGTCCCTTCCTCCCATACCTTGTCACTGGCCGCCAGAGGCTCAGGCCGCTCCAGTTCCTCTATGGCTCCTCTGAGTCCAGCCAAACCCCTCTGATAAAATAAAGAGGGGAGGAGGAGAGAACAGCCAGATAAAATTGGCTGCTCCGGCGTCTCCTGGCCTCGGTGTACCCTGCAGCTTTGGCTCCTGCCAGGGGTTTCAGCCTGTTGTGCACTTTTCATCAACAATAAACTTTGGCAACTGGGAAGGCTGCCTTGGAGGCATGGTTCAGACTCCAAAAACGATAGAGCAATATGCCCTGGAGAGGGCAGAGGATTTTCTAATTTTAAAAAGGAGCAAAGTGGAAAGGAGGAACATATGTTGGCAGGTAAATAAACAAGGAGTTTCAAACCCCAAAAGTCTGGTCTGTCCTTAAAGGAGCCAAAGCTGCTGGCCCTTCAGGGACTACGGGGAAGGCTGAGTCACCTGCCGGATTCACACAAACTTCTTTCAGGGGCTGGATTCTCCCAACTGGTTAAGTGGGTACCAAGGAGATGTCAAAACATGTCGGTTCAATACAGTCCAATATATCAGATATTTTACTAAGCATCTTCCATCAATACATCTTGCTGGCCCTGCCTCTAAAACATATCCCGAGTGTCCCATCCCAGGCCAGTCCCTGCCCCATCCTCGTGGGCTGCCAGCCTCTGCCCCTCTGCTGAAGCCTATGAGAAATAGCTCCAAATGCACATTCCAAGGAACACCAGTCCTGTAAGACATCCTGGGGATAAAAACGAGTCTATAGCCAAACACAGGTGGAATGTTAAACTTGATTGCCCTTGAAGAGCCTGGTTATTTGGCCATTTCAATATTCCTACTGGCATCCAGAGAGAATAAATCAGGATAATCAAGAACCAGTTTGGGAAACACTGGATGCATGAGATGATGATAAAACTGGCCAGGCCTGCCCACCCTTCTGATCCCCACCGTGGAAGCACCTCAAGTTCATAGTCAAAGCCCTAATTGTAAGCTTAAATTAGCTAAGAGGAAGCAAGGTTGCTAGACTTGGAGCATCAGTGCTTCATCGTGGAGGTGGAGTTCAGCCCTTTCTTAATTAACAGCAACATTTGGTGCAGACCTACTATGCGCAGGCACCATGTTTATTTGCATTTTTGCATGAATTATACCACATCAGTGTGGTCCTATGACAGCCTCGTTTTACAGATGAGAACATCGGAGTACCACAAGGTGACTAATAATCACCATGGCTACAGAGAGCAAGTGATGGAGCCAGGACTGGGCCAGGAATTCTGCACACCTAAGCTTTTAGCGTCTACATTACTGCTCATATGCTTTAATCCCTCTGAACCTCACTCTCCTCCTCAGTCCAGTGAAGTTAATAATTTCCGCATATGGTTATGAGTGAACTCAGTGAGCCTACCGACCCTCAGCATGGAGCCTCTGCGGTGCTCAATAAATGAAAGCTATTCTCACAATTACTCCATCTGTGTCTTAGGCAGTGCTGGCAAAACAAAGCCCTAAGACTTTCTCTCCCCATTGGCATTGCTCTTTAAAACATGTTGTGGCTGCAGCAGAAGCACAGGATTGTCTAGCAGGAAAAGGCCTCAGAGATCATCTATTATTTTTCCAGAATAGCTCAGGATTCATAATTTATAAGAGCAAGGCTTCAGAAATTCAGACTGAAGAATGACCAACTTCCACCCCTCAACCCAAGGCTTCTTGCCCATGGTTAAGGTCACTACCAGTGAGGTGACAGGAATACTCTTGGCCATTCTTCTAGCAAAAAGAGCTGCTTCCCTTGGGCACTTTTACAACTGGTTATTTATACGCCCAGAAATCTTGTCTGTGTTTATGTGATTAGTCACTAAGCAAAAGCTTATTTTCCACCAGTTGGGAAGGGTTTCCTTTCTGAAAAATGAAAGCCTGTGTCTCTTGGCCAGTTTTACCCAGAAGCCCAGTGGCTCCAGAGTGGTAAGGAAAACTATGGCCCTTGACATGCCAGGCCTACCAGGAAAATCAAAGCCCTGAATAGAAACTTAGCTCAGCTTGGGTCAGGCCCTCAGCATGGGGCCATGTCCCTGTGGCACAGAGCCTGGTTTTTAGTGCAGCGAGAGAGTTTTATAAAGCGTCTACTAATGCAGATGGCACTGGGGATGCTGAAAGAAGACTTTACTCAGCTTAGAGTGCAGAGAAAGGCAGGCCAGGGAGAAGTACGGCACAAGGAAGGGGACATGGGCAGAAATAGAAGTACTGCAAGCAGAAAGAACCACCAGCAGCTGGCAGGGCCAGAGAACAGGAGAAGAGAAAGAAGAGGACTAGGAATAACACACCCAACCCTGGAACACCCACAGGATCTCCAGAGGGGTCAGACAGGTGACCAAGCCATTGCCAAGAACAATTCAGAAGGTAAGAACAAACAACATGGTAGCATCCAGGGTCCTGCACCTGTGAAATCGTTCAGGGCGCATGTCTTCCCAGGAGACTTCCCACAAAGTGACCTCTCCTTCCCTAGAAGGCTGATAATAACAATAGTTAACATTTTTTTGGTTGAGGGGTGGACAGAGTTTTACTGTGTTGCCCTGGGTAGAATGCCATGGCATTGTAGCTCACAGCAACTTCAAACTCTTGGGCTCACACCATGGAATATTATGCAGCCATAAAGAAAGATAGAGACTTTACCTCCTTCATGTTTACATGGATGGAGCTGGAAAATGTTCTTCTTAGCAAAGTATCTCAAGATTGGAAGAAAAAGTATCCAATGTACACAGCCCTATTGTGAAACTAATTCTATAGCTTTCGTATGAAAGCTATGACTTAATTATAGCCTAAGAATTTGGGGAGGGGAGAGGGAGGAGGAAGAGAGGGGTGTGGATGGGTGGAGGGAGGGTGATTGGAGAGATC